GCGCCCTCCTTCTCCGCCTCCTCCTCCTCCTTCTCCTCCTCCTGCCCCTCCTAATCCGTAGCCGTTGCGGCTCAAGACGGATATTCCTGGATAGATCGTGGAGAGTTAAGAGGGTTTCAGATTAGAAGCCGGCAGCGCATGGAGGCCCTGGAGTTGTTTCGCAGGGAACGTTGCAGCGGCTTGCTGGAAGTTGCAGCGTGTCCCGAAGGCGTGTTCTTACTCGTTCCCAGTACGTGTCCTGGAAACTTTTTTTCCGCAGCTCCTTCTACGCGCTTCGGGAGCTCCCGGGAAGCTCCTCTCCCGAGCTTGCAAGCTCTCCAGGCATCCTTTCAGACGTCCTTGCACGCGTCTCCTGCAAGCTTCTCACGCGGTGTGGACTGTTCCGCGATCCTAGTGTTGGACGCCACAAGTTCGCCTTGCGACTCAAGCGAGCCTCGGCATGTTTTGATTGTGTTTGCATTTCGTGCTGATGCGCGTCGATGTGATTGCTCCTCTGCATAGGCGTTGTGGGTGGTCATCTCTCATATTTGCCTTGCCGTGTGATACGCCTTCTTGCGGATTCTGCTGGCCGTCATACCACTGGGTTGCAGGTGGCTGCGCACGCCCATCGTCATATTCTGTCTGGCTCTACGCGACGCCGGTTGTCGCACACTGATGTCGCTTTCCACTTCGCCAGATTCTGCACGATACAGTAGGAGGGTGAATGTATGGTTTCGTTTTGGTGGACAACGAACAACTAATGTTTCTCGCTGTATTGAGCAGCGCTCTCGGGTGCCTCGCTACTGTCGCGTTCGTCGCCTTTCGGCATGTCAGTTGGACCCTCGCGCCGAAGTCATCAGCCGGCGTCCAGTCCAGTGTCAGGGCAAGACGTGTTCTCGGTGCTACAAGTTTTGGCATCGGTCCAGGGCGCATACGACAGCCAGTTGAGTGTTGATCAAGCTCTTGTCGATGCTCAAAATGCGTCTATTGCCGAGCTGAAGAGTTTTGTGAGCAAGGCCCCGTCCGCTGGTTCCAAGGCCTCTTCGGCGCGATCTTTGGTTTCGGTTTCTTCGCCATGCTCGGCTGATTCGTCAGATCTTGAAGGATCCACACACACACACGCTTGATGCAGCACTAAGCTTCAGGCAGTCCCCAACCTGATTCACAGCAGGGCTCGAAGCGCACTCAAGGACTTTATACTGGAGCTTTGTCAGTTGATGGTTGGTGGAGCTGTTTCTACGGTGTTGGCAGCTGCTCTCCTAATCCTCTGGAAAAGGTGGTGTCCCCGACGGCTGAGGATCTACACGACAATATGTATCTGCAGCTCTCTTCGCTTTCAGAACGCCTCACGCGACAGCTCCCCAGAAGCTGAGAATTCACGCATGGAGCTCGACGTTAGTTTCAAGGCCGTCGAGAGGCAGCTGGTGACTCAATGCAAGTGTCGCAAGGATGAAGCTGCTCGCACACGCTCTGCTCCCTCGTCTTCGTCGACTGCGTTTCCACAGACGGTCCAGCAGCATGCAAGTTTGGCCAGGCATGTTGCCGGAGGGACTGCACTTTTCCACCTCCCTGATGTGCGGAATATTGATGGATTTACTCGACTTCAGGTCAGCCCCACGGCCTCGCCAATCAACTATACCAAGCTCGATGATTTCAACATGGCCCTTGCTGTGGAAGAAAATGTTTAATATCTAAGGCAATCGCTTCACACTCCTCCAGCATGTCTGCATCCCCATGATTCCGACGTGTATTAAACTGCTCACGTCGATGCTGTATGTTTATGTGTTTCGTCGTCTGCGTCGACTTGTCCTCGGCTGCGTCCTCATCTCTCTTCTCATTTATTCTGAATGGGGCCTCCGCCTTCGCTTACCCCTCATTCTCGTCGAGGCGCGGATTCGCCGCGTTAGCAATGTCACAGACTCCTTGGGTACGTTCAAAATGTTCCTCCTGGCGCATCCTCCTCCACCTCCTACCGCTGCCACCCCACCTACATCATTTCCTACCTCTCCTCCTCCTCCTCCTCGTCCTCCTTCTCCTCCTCCTCCTCCTCCTCCTCCTCCCCATCCTCCACCTCCTCCTCCACCTCCTCCTTCTCCTCCTCCTCATCCTAGCTCCCTCTTCCTGTATTCGGCGGCGCTCACAAGACGGTGGCGCGAGGGCAACGGCGGCCCTCTGAGAAGGCCAGGGGGTCTTCTTAGAAGGCAGGGGTCTGTTTCCAAGGGACAGAACCAAGTATCAAGTATTTTCTGTGGGGCTGGGCACTATCTTTGAAAAATCAACCGGGTGGGCTTTGCGGCGAATGTCGGCCGTCGAAGTATCTGCCGAATTCTTCCTCGAAGCGCATCAAGCGCGATCGTCGCCAAGCGGCGCCGGCCTGAGGTTTCACTTGCCACGTGGGTGCCCGCCTGGCCTCGCTGGCGACTCACGAGGGCCAGATTGGGCGGGGCCGACTTGGCCGACCGACCCTTTGAAGATTGTATGCGCGGGTTTTGTGTGTGTGTGTGACAATTGCGTTTTCCGAGGGTAAATCATTTTCCTGGCTTCCACGGGGTCTGGGATGATTCTCCGACCCCTGCCGCTTTTCAAGGCTCTCGTATTTGTTTAGGAGCCCTCCGTGGTCGTCGACTGGGCGCCCGTGGCGGGCGACGCGGACGCCCTGGGCCCAGCACCCCGGCGGTGGCGGACGACTCCGGCTCCACTTGCCAGCTCTGCAGCGTAGGATTCCCTGGGCCCCTTCCCGGCGACTACAAGGGGTATGGTTACGCCGGGGTGTGGTTTGCGATCGGCACCGTTGGGGCCTGGGGGGCACGACGCTGTCCTCGTCGGGCCTCCTTGGGGCGCGGGAGAACTCTATCGAGGTCCCCGCGCGCCCCCTGAGGTGCCCCCCCAGAATGTTCCCCAGGGTGCCGGTTGCAAACCACACTCTTTGCAAACCACACCCTTTGGAGTCGCCGACCTTGCTCCGCCACGGCACGAGCGGTAGTCACATGTCCCGGTGTGGCGACCTCCGCTGCCAGTGGCATTGGCGAGCCCAAAGGGGGGGCACCGCGCTAGGACAAACATGTTGTCGCCGTTCACGAGGTTCCGAAGACGGTCTCGTAGGAGCCAGGATGGGTTCTGAGAAGCCACCTGCCTTCGTTGGTGCCGCCAATGTTCCTCTTCCTCATCGTCTTACGCGCCTCGGTTCTCCTTTTCCTCCTGTGGTTCCTCGTCTTCCCACGCGCGTCGTTCATATTCATTTATTTTTCTGCAACTCGTTCCTAGGAGTACACTTTTTTGGGGCGTCGTGCCCCCATTATGTACGTGCATCTTTCCTCTTGTTCGTCCCCCCTCCTCATCATCACCACCATATTCATGATCGTAGTTCTCTTAAGTATCCTCCTCTTTCTTTTCATCATCATCATCATCATCATCATCATCATCATCATCATCATCATCATCATCATCATCATCATCATCATCATCATCATCATCATCATTCCTCCGTAACCATTTTGGCCCAAGCTCGGAACAGTAATCCCTGGTGTTTCGACCTTGCTCGCATCTGAAGGGGCGGCTGGAAATCTAGGCACCGCTGCCCGCGTTTTGCTTGCTCCACCCTCTTCGACTTCTGATATGTTCGGATCCCGGTATACTCGGAGACGCGACGGTTCGCAGAGGCACGGATGCATTGATTTTCGATATGGCAGTTCAGGCGGCCAAGCTGTGCGATTCTTTCAGTTCGATAACGGCTCAGGTCTCTAAGCTTGTTTCTCCCATCCAGGTTTTGCAAGTTGGGTTGTACAGAGAGGTGGTGAGCAGTTCTTATATTCAGAAAGAGTTGGCACCTCTCCGCTCGCAAGCGAGCAGAAGTGACTTTGACGACAGCAGCGAAGGCGATGACGGCAACTCCGCTCAGAGACCCCGTCGTCCTCATCTTGGCTCTCCCGGCGTATTGTTGAAAACCATATTTGTCGGTTTCAATGACGAGTGCACTCGTCGGGTTTTGTTCGAAGCAGGCGTTGCGGTTTCCCCCTTCGCGTGTTACTCAAGCCGGCGATGAAAGTCGCCCCCTGAATTTCTCGAATAAAGTGACCCTTGCGCAACGCTCTCCAGAAGCAGCCCCCAACATGACCGACACGTTTAGGGATAATTACCCTGACGGCTTCGAGTCCACCACCCCAAGGGCCTCCGCGCGTTGCGTCTTAAGGCCCTTCGCGATGACGAGACTATCAGCAGCTGACGGCGACGGGCCGGACCCGCAGCGAGCCCGACGCGGCAGCCAAGGCGGACCCCGGCCCCCTCAAATCGGCCCATGGATCCGCCAGCCGGCAACGGGTCCATCTTCGCATTTGTTTTTGAGACAGGTGATACAGAAAAGCTCTTCTACTTTGCCAAGCCTAGCTCAGTTTTTGAAGTGCCCCGCGCTATCTCGGTCGCTTGCCACTTCGAGGCCATCGGGCTTGGAGGCAAGCAGAAGTGGATTGTGGACAATGCCATGGGCTAGTCGAGCCTTGGACGACCTGGCGAATTCGCAGTCTGCACCTTCTGGGAATGGGTGGCTCACACATGGCATTTTCATTATGTTGTGTGCAGGTGGATTGCGAGAGGCACCGCTAATATTTTGGAGGCGCGGGGCGTCGTTGCTCCTCCCTTTCGCCCCGAAGGGACAGTTGTCTGTTGTCACTTGGAATGCTGGAGGCCTTCCTGGTAGTGCTTGAAGTATGCGAAGTCGTGCATTTGGGCGCTGGGATCTATTCAGTGCTCCCACCAGGAGCAACCATATTGTCTGTGCCGAGGAGCCGCGTGGGATCTTCGGGGACGTGACCGCAATGCGCACGGAGACCCTTGATCCGAAGACTTGGTTCCCAACCCTCCCATGGTTGGGCATTCGTTTTGAATAGAGCAGTGTGGTCGCCCCGTCCTTCTTCTCCTCCCCCCCTCCTCCCCTCCTCCTCTCCTGTTTCCTGTGCTCCCCTCTCCTTTTTCTCTCGTGCCCTCGGGCTGCGATCTGCGCAACTGTCGCCACTTTCGTGGGCCCC